CCCCCCCCCCCCCCCCCCCCTTTTTCTTCCTTTTTCTAATCTTCTCTTTTGAGAACGCCTGTTTTGAGAGACTACGTCTAAGTTCTACCCCGTTAGAAGAACCAAACTGATAAGCTACCTAGTCTTCTAATACATAGCCCAAATTGACATTTACCCACGTGCTCAAGGTAAACAGTACGACCAAGAGCTTCCAGTGTACGGCCTAAACGACAACGTTGCCACCACTTTTCATCAGTTCTTATCAGCGGGCGTATGTGACCCGTTTCGAGCACGTTGGAAGGCCGGTACTGCTAGTACTAGTCTTTGCAGACAGGTTGGACGGCAAGAAAGGCTGGCGCTTCGGTAGCTCGGGTAGGTACAGGTTAGTACTAACTTGGCTACACCATAGGCAGGACAAGCTGTTCAGGCTGCGCGTCAGTCACCACCACCAAGCAGCCTGACGAACCTCTCAATCATCCACATCCCGCATCCCATGTCCCATCGAGGCCAAAGTTTGGAAAAGCGTTTGCAGATCGCCGCATTCACATCACCTTATAACCGTGCATTGGATCTGCATCAGAATAACCACTTCGCGTCTTGTTTTTCACATTTTCATATTGCCAGATTACCTAGAGGCTCCAAGGCTCCATCCGGCGCCGCAACACCATTCAGCCTCATCCAGCATCGCGTGCTAGGCGGTCGAGGGCGTACACGATACATACGACAGAGGCCAAAGCATAGATCGTATGTCGGACCGAGTTGGTGACAGGTTGGACTAGCACGACAGCGCCTATCTATGACATATAGCCACTTACCAGAGGTACGCTGTTTAAAACCCCGTCGGCCTTCCCTGACCATTGTTATCCGTCAACCACCGACGCACACAGTCAACGTAAGCGTCCTCTCCTGTCCTGTCTCGGTCGCTAACGGGCTTGGAGCGGTGCCATAGTAGCATGTGCTTGGTTCCCCCGGCCTACGAGATTAATCAACAAGAGCACGCCCGACAAGACCTGAGCCATGGACCTGAACATTCAGCGCTTTCTCAATGACAAGCTATATGACAAGCGCAAGATCGGGGCACTCGAGTATGTCTTTTTTTTCCTCCCCTTCTTCATCACCGCTTTCCTCCACTTTGCCAATCCGTGGATTGATATGGCCTTGGCTCCCGGATCCGCAGGCCAGTCTTCTCACAGCATTGACCTTTTCGTGGATGCCCTTCATCGGTCGAGATCCTAGACTTACACAAGCTCGCTCTTCCAGCCTGGAGCGTACCATTCGTGAGCTGATTGCCGCCAAGGACTACGCCAAAATCGAAGCCATCCTCGACCAGCTTTGCAATGACTACGCATATGCTGTTCATCAGCCTCATGCACGCAACGGTGGCTTGATAGGCCTGGCTGCCGCCGCAATAGCACTCGGCCCAGTATGTTAACGTCTTTCCCCGTCTTGATGATATCAACTTGCCCCTTTCCCTTACTCACTCTTCCAAGCAGGAGCTTCCCAAGTACCTCGAGGTCATTGTTCCTCCCGTTCTAGCTTGCTTCACGGACCAGGATGCTCGGGTAAGATATTATGCCTGTGAGGCTATGTACAACATAGCCAAGGTGGCCAAGGGTGAAATTCTGGTCTACTTCAATTATATTTTCGATGCCCTCTGCAAAGTAAGTAACATTCCATTCGTCTATTCTTCCGCGCCATGTTACTCACATGTTTACCACGGCGCCTAGTTGGGCGCCGACTCTGAACTCTCTGTCAAAAATGGTGCCGAGCTTTTAGATCGCCTAGTCAAAGATATCGTTTCCGAATCGGCCGCGACCTATGTTTCGGTGCTGGAGCAGCCTCAGGAGTTCGACGGAGACGATAAGAACGCCAATGACGAACAGTTGGACTTGCCCACTGCATTTTCCTTGAAACGATTCATCCCCCTGCTGCGGGAGCGCATCTTCGCCCTGAACCCCTTTAGCAGAACCTTCTTGGTTGGCTGGATTACTCTGCTCGACTCGATCCCTGACCTTGAGCTCGTCACCTACCTGCCAGAATTCCTCGGTGGACTTTTGCGTTTTCTCAGTGACTCCAACCGAGACGTTCATGTTGCTACCCAGGCTTGCCTGGACAAGTTCCTGGCTGAAATCAAACGCATCGCTCAAGTCAAGAAGGGGATAACCGAGAGCAAGAGGTCTAGAGATGCAGCAAGGCAAAGCAGAAAGGACTCCATCGGTAGCGGCGGTGGCCGCTCCCTTGAGGATGGGGACGAGGTCGACTCCATAACGGCAAACGAGGAGGACGACGATGTGAGCAGCGAAGATGACTGGGTCCCCGGACAGGACGTGCAAATCAACTACAAGGCCATCCTGGAGATACTAACCGCCACTCTCGATTCGCCCCTAGGTATGTCTACCTCTCACCCTCGGACCAATCGCCAGAAGAATCTGATAGATGTTCCAGAAGAGGACGGACTTCTAGAATCGCTACGCTGGATCGTCGAATTCCTCGATATCTGCCCGGAAGAAGTATTGCCATTTACGCCCAAGATACTGGCGCACTTACTGCCGGCTATGGCTAGCGGTGTTGAGTCTATTCGCCAAGCCGCCGCCAGAGTCAATAACTCGCTGATGGACTATGTGGTTTCTCTTTCTGACGAAGCAGATCTCGTATCCGCCCCGCCGGCTCCTAGTGAGCAGCTGAACGGAAACGCGAGCAATCGGGCGTCTTTGTCTAGTTCACGAGACCTCGACCTCCGCAGTCCGACACCAGCTCAGGGAAGGCAAAACGAACGCGCCCCTACTCCGGCAGTCGCATCTCAGGCAACACCTCAGGCAATACCTCAAGCTGACCTCGACTATGTTGCTGCCGTAAACTCGCTGACACTGTTGTTCCTGAACGATCACGAGGCTACCCGTGTTGCTGCCTTGACATGGTTGATCATGCTGCACCGAAAAGCACCCAGAAAAGTGTTGGCTTTCAACGACGGGACTTTCCCAGCCTTGCTCAAGACCCTGTCCGATCCTGCGGAAGCAGTCGTTACCAAGGACTTGCAGCTTCTCTCGCAAATTTCGAGAAACAGTGAAGACGATTATTTCTCCAACTTCATGGTTAACCTACTGCAGTTATTCTCGACCGACAGGAAGCTTCTAGAGACGAGAGGCAACCTAATAATCCGTCAACTTTGCACAAGCCTCAGCGCCGAGCGGATCTACAGAACATTGGCTGATTGCATTGAAAAGGAGGAGGACGTCGAGTTCGCGAGCATAATGGTGCAAAACCTTAACAACAACCTCATCACTGCGCCTGAATTAGCGGAGTTGCGAAAGCGGCTCAGGAACCTTGAAACTAAGGTATGGCACTATGAGCGCTCTTTCTAAAGGCAAGGTACTCACAACTTGTAGGATGGCCAAACATTCTTTGTAGCGCTTTTTCGATCATGGTGTTACAATGCAGTGGCAACTTTCTCGCTCTGCCTGCTGGCACAGGCCTACGAACAGGCTTATAATCTCTTACAGATATTGTGTGTATTCCCCTAGCTCCTCGAGTATACGCTGCTGACTATTCGACAGTGCCGAGCTCGAGATGACGGTCAATATGCTCATCCAGATCGACAAGCTGGTTCAACTACTGGAGTCGCCGGTTTTCACTTGTACCTTACCTTCCAGAACCCACCCTTACACGCATTGACAGCTGGCTAACAGTGACCAGATCTTCGTTTGCAACTACTCGAGCCGGAAAAGTACCCACACTTGTATAAGTGTCTCTACGGGCTTCTGATGCTTTTACCGCAATCCTCGGCCTTTGCGGCCCTAAAAAATCGCCTCAACAGCGTCAGCTCTATCGGCTATCTTCACATTGCGCCTAGACCGTATGTCAACTCTGCCACAGGGAATGGTGTTAGCGGAGGAGGCGCCCATTTGTCTCATTCGCGACATGGCTCAGTCGCCGAGGCGTTTGCCGGCTCCCCTTCTTCACCACCCTTAGCGTCCCCAAACCGTAAAAGCACTTCAGGAATCGATACTCACATGTTGTTGACCCGCAGCACTGCTACTACGCCAAGTGCGTCCACCTTTGATCGCCCCAATCGACTTAAGGGTCGAGACGACAGCATCATCCGCTGGAATGAATTGCTAGAGAAGTTCCGATCAGTCCAGGAACGTGCCAGGCGCCTTCAACGAGGAGATGAAGACGACGCGTCATCAGCGTTGAGTGATCTTAAGATAGGAGGAGGCGAGACTGCAATGGATGCCAAGGGCACTGGGAGGGAAGGGACAGGAGGGCGAGCGCCTCCTGTTCCGGCCAAGGATCTGCCCGCGGCGGCGCCTCCAGCAAAAACCCGAACGCTTGGAAGGCCTTTTGGGAGACTCGGAGGGGCAGTGGCAGGTCGAGGCAAGCGAGCCCAGCAGTGAATGCCTTTGAATTTGATGTTCTGATCTGTTTGGTTTCACACGCTTCTTGGTCTTCGTGGCTTCGGCATGCATGCGTCCTTTCGTCGAGTTTGTCTCTGGCGCTCAGCCATTTCATTGCATTTGATAACAACTGACAAGAGCAGACACCATGCTTGCGTGTAATGTAATGGTACCCCCCGACGAGGATGCGGACATGGAAACAACGAATTGGAAAGATTACGAAAGTGAGCCTGACGTGATTACAGAAGAGAAGATGGGCTCTGGTCAGTCTGAGAGGCAAGAACAAGAAAGGGGTAGTACGAATGTTTGAGACAGGTTCACGGGCATATTGCATTATGGAGGGTGAAGAGCGTTGTCGATACTCAATAAAACTAAACGAAAAAGCCAAAGACCATGCCATTCTCCTGCGGTTACTGTCGCGAGTTTCCCGTCATTCCCTTAGTGCCGGTCTCTCTTTGCGGCGATAATCCCCCTTCGACCAATCCCTCAAATGCCTCATCCCTCCTGTTCGTCAATGACCTCAACCCCTCCCTCAGCAGCTCCAACGCCCGTCTCGCTTGCTCTATATCAGGCGGCAACCCTTCAAATGCCCGGACCTTCACATCCAATTCGTGCTTTCGCCTCAATAACTCCAAATAAGCCTCCTGCTCCCTCCGTACCTGCTCAACCGTCACCATGCCTCTTCCCTCCTCCTCACCACCACTACCACCACCATCACCCCCAACAACAGCATCCGCCAAGTTCGCCACCTTCTCCTTCAACTGCGGTAATGTCTGTCCCGCTAACATTCTGATCCGTCGCTGCACTTCCAGGTTTTCCTTGGCCAATCCCGCAGCTGGGCTGCAGCCGGGGTGCCTACGGAGCCGAACGAGTAGCTTCTCGATGGAGGCTGTGGCGCAGGTGATGTGCGAGCTGAGCAGATCCAGGCGCTGTCGGGCCTGTTCGAGATTGTTGAGCTCGGTTGATAGGGAGAGGAAAGAGGATGCGAGGTGGATGGGGTCGCCTTGGGTGATTGGGAGGGAGAGGGTTTGGGAGAGGTGAGAGAGGGAGGTTAGGGATTCTTGGCCGGCAGGTGTAAGGGAAGCGGAGAGCAAGGAGAAGATGGATTGTTTTGCTTCTTGGTAAGTTAGTGACGCTGAGGGAGAGGGAAAGGAGGGGGTGATGTCGTCTTGGGCTTGGGCAACGGTTCGGCCCAGAGATGTGGCGTTGCTGGTGTTCAGCTTCACCTGAGTGTCAGATTCCAGGTCGGCGATCTGCTGGCGCGGATCGTCGGCAGCTTCGTTGGCGGTGGCTAGGGCGAGGAGTGCCTTCAGCGTTTCGGGGTTTCGCTCGAAGGATGGCACTTTGAGATGTAGCGGGGCATATTTGGCATGAAGCCAGGAGTCGACGTAGGACCAGTCCTTGGCGGCGGAGGCGGCGGCGCGGGCAACGGAGGGGGAAAAAATCACGGGCGCGGAGGGTGGCAGGTGGGAGGACATGGTCAGGATGGTTGCGTGTATACGTAGCAAGTATTCCTTTCTCTTTTCCGGAATCCGGGAGGGAGGGTTGGCTTGGTTTCTGTTCTTTTGTTATTCTCTCCTTGTTTTCTTCAGGGGTGTGTTTGTTCTGTTGATGAGGTGTGCGCCCCTTCACAGGCAGTTCGTCTCTTCCTTCTGTTGGACCGTGTTTACAGCAACGTTCGATGTCTTGTCTCGAACTGTCCGCCGCGGAATTATCAGTCCGGTTAACTGTGGCTCGAGGGCCTTCCCACCTCCGTATGTACTACTTTCCCCGTTTGTACAGGTTTGCTTCACCAGTGGAAACCGTAGGAGCAACAATGGCCATGCGGCGAGCGAGGCAGGTTGAGTTGTCTGACACGTACAATATCACGGAAGTAAAAAAATGCCCACTATAAGAAAGCATTCGAAGGTACATATGCTTACCTACCTCTAGTTGTACGTGTAAAGGTAGATATTTATTTAGCCCCTCTCAATCGCTTGGGAAGGTCCCACTCCTCATACAGTTTAGCATACACAGTAGAGGTAGGTAGTAGCTACCTAGCTCGTCCCTGACAAAAAAAGTGGCACTTTCTCAGGGCAATAAGCGTAGCAAAAGGTGTCACCTTTTTTGTCAGGGACGAGCCTAGTAGTGGTTGCGCTGCCCGTGCGTTGTCTCATTGGTCAATATTGTGCAAGTAAACAAAAGCTGCGCTGGCCACGCAGGGTCCACTGTCGCAACGCGCTTTCACTACCTACATACACTACAGGGAGCGCTGTACCGCACCTGAACGTGAAGTGTTGGTAAATCTACCACCCGCCAATGCCATGCCATACCATGTCCCCAAGTTGTGGTTTTTGCAACCCCCATCGGTTCTTCTATTTTTTTTGAATCAATTTTTTTTTTTTTTTTTTCTTTCTTTCAACACCCTGCTTGCATCTTGTCTTTCTTTCACCAGTGAGAGCGCGTCCGGCTGCTTGTGATAGCTGAGTTGTGACAAGCAGCAGCCACATAACGAAGAACCACCACAGCACCTCGACCATCATCACTACGACCACCGCCACAACGACGACAATCAGACAATCTATGAGGAATACATACCCAGCAGAGAACACGACATTGCTACCTAGGGCCGCCTGCCGCCATAATGGTCCAGCCGGGCGTCGAGGGCCTGGGTACGCCGCGCACCGCCGTCGGTGACGCGACTTTTCTCGACCGCCAACCCGACTTCGACTTGTCCCAAGAGCTCTCCTTCCACTCGCCCTCCAAAGATGCAAACATTGCCCAGCAACTCCGGAATGGCAACCGGCCGAGCCTGTCGACACCACGGGGTACCCGCGCTCCCTTCACGAACCGGCGCAATGTCCAAGCCAACGGCAACACCAACGTGGGCGGTCCAGAATTCACACCCCTCCTCAAATCAGCCACGAGAAACAGTGCAAGGCGCCTGCCCGGCAAGGAGAACGGCCGGACGACACCGAATTTTCTGGAGAGGATCGACGAGGATATCACGCCGTTGCCCAAGCTCAACACCTCGGTTTACAGCTCCCATACACCTTTACCCAACGATGCGACCGTTTCCAGTACAGAAGTGACGACACCCATCACCATAAGGCGGCGAGGTGGCACCAAGGGTCCTCTCGACGACGGCAACCAACTGTCACTGCGTGAGCAAGAGAACGTGGTCAACAAGATTGAAAAGGAAAACTTTGGGTTGAAGCTCAAGATTCACTTCCTAGAAGAGGCGCTTCGGAAGGCAGGACCTGGCTTCAGCGAGGCTGCACTCAAGGAGAATACGGAGCTCAAGGTTGACAAGGTTACCATGCAGCGAGAACTGCAGCGTTACAAAAAGACCCTTAGCACGGCGGAGAAGGACCTCGAGAAGTATCGAGCCCAGATGATGGAAATGCAAGAGAAGGCGGCCAAGAAATTTTCAGATGGGAACCAGCGTGCCGAACTGGACCGCTTGCGCCAGTTGGTGGAGGAGAAGGAAGCCGAGATACGACGCCTTCAGCAACTGCTCGAGCAGGGCCAGGGCGAGAACGAAAAACTTGAGGAGCTACAGGAGCACATTGAGGAAGAGGCAGAGGAGTTGAGGGACAAGGCCGCTGAGTTTGAAGAACAACTAAAAGAGGCTCAGGTGCGAATCGCCGAATTGGAGGACAAGGCAGCCTCTAGCGACGTGCTACGGGAAGCCCAGGAAACCATCGAGGATCTTCAGCACGATGTTAGGCGTCTCGAGCAGCAGTTGGACGACATGAAGGACAAGGCGGAGGAGGCCCTTTCACAGAAGGACAGGGCGGAGGCGGACCTGCAAGAGCTGCAGAATGAGATGGCGAACAAGTCGGTCATTACCAAGGGCCTTTCGCGGCAGGTTGAGGAAAAGGTTGCCCGCCTACAAAGCGAACTGGAGACTGCCCGGCAAGAATGTGTGACGGTAGCACAACAGCGCGATGCGCAATCCGCCCAGGTTGAGAACCTCAAGTCGACCCTTCGCCAAGTGCAGCAGGAGCGGCAGTCACTCGAGCAAACCCGCGCATCCATGGCAGCTAGGCTGGAACGAGGGCAGGCGCAACTCGATCAGCTTTCCAGCGAAAAGCAACTTTTGCAGGAGCGTCACGATGCCATGGCAAACGAGTCCGCCTCTTTGCGACGCGAAATGTCCGGATTGCAGACTGCAGTCTCAGCGCTCGAACTTAATATGGAACGCGAACGGCAGAATGCGCTGAATATCGAACAGAACATCCGGGCACAGTACAAAGACGAGATGGACCGTCTAAACAACCATGCCCTCAGTGTCGAACAGAATCTTCGGGCTCAATACGCCGAGGAGATGAAGCGACTGAACAACGAAATCTCGGATCTCCAGGCCGAGTGCCGCGAAAAGGATAATCTGTACGATAACGACAGTGAGAAGTGGGAAGCTGAGCGTCGAAAACTCGAAGCGGAATTGAACAGGGCCCAGGAGCGGGCTTCTGGCCTCCAAGTGTCACTTGATCAGCTGCGGCAGACGGAAGGGAACCTGTCCAACAAGGAGGCAAGGCTGCAGCACGCTCTTCAGCTGGAAAATGAGCGGCACAAGAGAGAAGAGGCACTGATGAGCCGGCAAATCCAAGAACTGCAACAGAACCTTCAATCTCGTCAAGCAATGCTCGAGGACCTCCGAAAGGAAATGCGCCAAGTGCAAGACCAACATCGCCAGACCCAGCTGGATTATCAAGCGCAAACGGACAAGATTGCGGCGTTGGAGGATGAAGTAGAGGTTCTGCAAGCTGCTCTGGATGAGGAGTCTGAGAGAGCTGGCCAGGACCTCGAAAAACTACAAGAAGAATGCATGGATCTGAAACGGAAACTTGCCTCTGCCCAGGCCACATCGAGTGCTGCCAGAGTTTCGATGAATACCTCGAATTCCAATGCTCCGACGTACAGTGAAAGTCAAGCGAGTCTAAGACTCCAGCTGGCGGATGCCAACGAGAATCTAGCCCGCATCATGAAAGAGCAGAAAATGCTACAAGAACGGTACAACAATCTTGATGCCGAGGCGCGTTCACTGAGGATAAACCTATCCCACGCCACGGCAGAGCGTGACGAATTAGAGGCGGAGCTTCAACAGCATAGGGACCAAGGTCCTGACCAGGACACATTCCAACTTGACCAGGAGAAGCTTAACTTGCGCTCTGCGAAGACAAGGCTGGATAATGAAATCCGCAGGTTAAGAGAAGAAAATCGGTCCCTGCTTGAGCGACAGCGCTCGATGCAGAAATCGCTCGAAGAAGAGATTGAGAAGGCGTCTGCTGAAGAAGAGCGCCTCAACCAGGAAATTCTTCAGCTCCAAGCCAAGGTTCGCGATTCGTCATCGTCTGCGCCGGGAGAGCTGGTGACAGCTCGTCGAACTATTCGCGAACTCGAGCGCCGCATTGCAGAGCTTGAGACACAGCAGGCCACTTCTTCTCTGTTCCCTAATCTTGGCGGAGCTGAAGGCAATCATGAAATCTCCCTCCTGCAACGCGACCTCACTGCTGCAAGGAAGAAGGAGATTGAGCTTCTTCAACGCGAGGCCGCCCAAAAGGAGACTATCAAGTTGCTCAAGCGACAGATCGCTGATCTGGAGCGCAGAGTCCATGAAGCGACAATCAGCAAGCTTGCAGTGTCTCCTTTGTCCTCCCATGGCGGCGACTCCGCCCAAAAGAATGAGATCTCGGAACTTCGGCAGCAATTGACCACAGCACATCAGTCTATTTACGACTTGAAGACAGCTCTCCGCGAAGCCGAGCGCAAGGTCAGTACCTCAGCGGACGAACTTCAAAGACAATATGAAGACCTCGAAGACGAGAAGATGGAACTGGAGCAGCTTCTTGATGAGGCGCAAATTGCCGCTGAAGAGGCCCAACGGGCACATGAACAGGCCCTCAAAAAGTACAAGCAGCGGAGCGAGAAGTACAAGAGCGAACGCGATGGCCTCGTGGCGGCTTCCCTCGAGGACCAAAAGCGGCGGGCTAACAAGCTCGGCAAACACCACCCAGCTGATCTCGACAATAGCCTCTTAAGCGATGTCTCCATGTCTCTCGGCGAGCGTCGCGACCTGCACAACATGCTGAAGGAGTCACAGCTCGCTGCTGATAAGCTTGATCGCGAGGTGAGGGAGCACCGTGAGGCACTAGAGGAGATGATGGCTATAGAGGTTGCCTTGCGCAAAAAGCTCGAGCGGGCGAGAAGCGAGCGAGCTGCATACAGGGCTAGCGCAGAGAAGCTACATCGAGACGTCAAGACACTTACATACGAAAAGGAAAAGGCTGTCAGGGAGGCTGAAGTGGTGGTCAACGAAGCTGTTAAGGAGATCGCAAAGGCCAAGGGTCACGACCCAAAGGCACTGGTATATACCCCCAAGGCTAAAATTGCTGATGGGACGTTTGACACGGATACGGAAGCCATCATCCGCGCGGCCGAGGCGGCGGAAAGGAGGCACGAGAAGGAGATCAGGGGACTGGTTATGCAAATGGAG